TTGAGGTACGCGTCGGGGCGGCAGTGCCGCCATTCAAAGATGAGCATCGTCGGACTGAGCGCGCACCACCCCGCAGACAACCAATCTTGCGAGGCGAGCATTTCGCAGTCGAGACCTTCGGTGTCGATGATGAGTAGCCTACGGGGGGCGCGCCGCGCAATCTACCCAGCGGAGCGGCAGCTCTTAGCAGCTCTGTTCCGCACCCCAGCCGCTCAACGCTCTCCCTCTTTAGCATGCCGAGCAGCGACGTGCACCGCACCGACTCCACAGCTACTCGCGACCGGAGATCCTCCACCTGAGAACGACGGAGTCTGCCTCTCCCCTCTCGAGTAGGGTGGTGCGAGGTGTGGAGCTGAGGTTCGTTGGTATCTGATCCTTCTCCACCGTGAGTTTTGCGCCGGGCTTCTGCACGCTCAGCAGCGTCCGAAAGTGCTTCTCGATGTGCTGCTTGCTAAAGGAGCCTGTGGGTGGGTGGGGTGGGTGGGGTGGTGTGGTGGTGGTGTGGTGTGTGTGGGTGTGGTGGTGGTGGGGTGGGGGGGGGGGGGTGCTTGCTGGTGTGAGGTGACACGCAGGCGAAAGGTACCGAGCTGTGCCGTCCAGTAGGGGAGGCCTTGTGTTGCAGGCAGCGTGTAGAATGGGAGCGAGCGTTCGTCCTAAGGCAAGGGTTAGAGCAAGGTAAACGTGCTCCACCGCATGTGGAAAGTGCTGAGCTATCCACCGCGTCCTCACGTCTTGAGACAGTCAAGGCGTGCAAAGAGGAGTGTATTTGAGCATGACCCGACTGGAGCAGCGGGAGTTAGCAATGGCGGATGACGACCGCTCCACACCCTCGAAGAGTATTGCACGATGGGGTCTCGCATCTAACGCTCCTCCTCGCTCCCGGGGCAGATGCCCTGTGCAACCACGCGCACGCGCGAGGGCGGCACGTGGGGCGTCGGATTGGCGGCCTTGACCCGGCCCGCTAGCTCCGTCGCGACTGGAGGGGACGCCTCCACGAGCAGTACGCTGGCCCACGTCACCTGTTGGTGGTGAAGAGAAGCGGTGACGGAGAAGCGGTGAGAAGGGCAGTAGCATGACAGGGAGAATGAGGGGAAAGAGACAGACTGACAGAGGCGGGCAGTGATTGGCACCAAAGGGACCTCGCCTTGGAGACTGCGTTGTACACAGGGTCATTCGGGTCGCCTCCAAAGTGGTGTGCGCCCACCTGCAGCGAAGGACGGCTCGCTTGGCGGCGGTGGTAGCATTGGCGGGGCGGCGGGCGCCGCCGCGAGGATGGTTGTGCGTGCCCTTGTGTGAGGCATCTCGTAAACCAAACCACGACGAGGGAGCTGTTTTCGGGCATCGTCTGGGCAAGTTTGGGATACAAAGACACCGAGAGGCCGAGTCCTGCGACGCCGTGCCCTGGAGTGGTGCGGTGATGGTGCAGCATCGCGTGCTGCATCGCCTGCCTGTGCAGCTCCGCACGCGCCGCGGTGACCGGCATGCGGTCCGTGTCTTTAGAGTTTGAAAGGTGTTGTATTGCATTAGGCGGCTGGGCGGCCGGGTTTCCCCCCGCCGGGTACAGATCGCACACAAAAGCGCATCCCGGGCCCAAATCTCACAGCCCCCCCAAAAGATCCGGTGTGGCCCATTGGGGAAACATATTTTGTCAAAATACAAAGCTCCCCCCGAACCACCGCTAAATACACTGAAAAATATAAGACTTCTACGGCTGTGATTTGTGTGAGCTCTGTGCCTTGATCTGGGACGTGTAATATCGTGCGACCTTCCAAGTTTATCGGGTTGCAGCGTGTGTGCTTCCATGGGTGTCACCGCCTTCCTCGCCGTCGCGCTCGACAAGACCATGCGCCGCAAGAAGGCCACCGAGCACGCGCCCGACGTGGCGCCGCGCCGGCTTCGTGACCTGCATCCACTGGACGCCCTGACTGTCTTGTTGGCCAATTTTAAGGTGCGCGATTTCCGAACGATGTATTGCTTGCTGTCGTTAGTCTGCTCCGCGCTGGTGAATCACAAGTTGCTCAGTGGCCATCCACTCGCGTAGGCACTGACAGGGCCATACCTCTTTGGCCAGAGCGACGCCTCAATCATGCGGGCGCTGACCTGGATTGAGCGGCCATTTCTGATCTTTGCGTTCTGGGTCGCGGGCGTCCTCCTTCCCTTTGCGCGCCTGGCCAGCCGCGTTGGCGTGCAGTCGCGGGATGACGCTCTTCCGTCACGAGAGCCAGGCCGCGCGATTGCAGTGCGTGTGCACGAGGCGCCGCAAAACGGACCGGACGCGCCTGTGGTGCTCTGGTTTCACGGCGGAGGGCTGTTTCTTGGCAGCGCAAGGGGCGAGGACGTGCTTGCGCGCTACTTCGCCGCTCGCCTGAAGGCCACCGTCGTCAGCGTCGACTACCGCCTGACGCCCGAGTACCCTTGGCCGAGCGCACTGGATGATTGTGAGGACTCCGCGCGGGCGGCGGCCACGCGCTGGCCGCGCCGACCCATGCTGGTCGCGGGTATGTCGGCCGGTGGCTACTACGCGATCCAGCTGGCGCTCGTGCTCGCGCATGCTGCGAGCTCCGATGCAGCCGTCGACGTGCGTGGGCATGTGGCGATTGCGCCAATGGTGAAGGCTGTAGCCCTTTTGTCGCGCACGTACAATTGTTACTCTGATCCTTTGCATGCAGGTCGGCCCCTTCACCCACTTTGACTCGGTTGGCGCCTGCTGGGAGCTCGCACTCTTTCCACACCGTGCGATTCACTTTGGCTGGTCAAAGCTGCTACGTTCTGCGCCGCTTCCTCACAAGTGGGACTGGCGCATCTCGGCCCTCCTCGCCTCTGACGATCAACTGCGCCGCATCGCGCCTGGGATCGTCACTTATCACCATTTCGATACGCTCTGCGACGAGGGCCGCCTGTATGCGGAACGGCTCGAGGCCGTCGGCCGTCTCGCCGCCGGCGCCCGGATGCCGTACCCACATGGCAGCAGCGTGGGGATGGGCCACGTCCTCAGCTGGGCGGCCTCCGAGATGGAGTCCCTCCTCGGAGCCTCTGCGAGCGCTGCGTCGCACAAGACATGAGTCATCGGGGATCGGGCGCCGGCGGTGGGGTAGGCCTCTGGGACGTCAATTTTGCAGCGTCAAGGCGGCGCCGAGGCGCGCGGAATGCAAGATAACACTGTTTTGGGTAGACCGTTCCACCGAGGTCATTACCTCTAACGAGTTAGAAGTAGTGCGCTCTCTCCCCTGCTCTTTCGTACTGTAACTCTATCGTACCAACGGCGTAAAAGGTGGACATAATGCTCCCTCCCGGCCCACCGGCGCCGCCAAGCATCGACCATCGGCCTCCCCGCAGCGGCACGTGGACGATGAGGTTGCCGACGTCGTGCCCCGCGCGCTCGTGATGGCTTCGCGGATGGTGAACCGTTCGAGCCCTTGTTGCACGAGCCCGCGTAGCTTGCGCTGTCCGCCTGCCCAGCTGACCGTTCCGTCTCTCCCCTGTGGTCCGTATGCGATCAGAGACGCCTCCCGAGCCAGCTTGCCGTCGTGGGGGTCTTCCACTTTGCGCCCGAGGTAGGCCTTGGCGACGACGTCGGCGTAGTGGTTCGGGAAGACGCCGCAGTGTGCGCACACCCATTGGATGACTAGGTCTCCGCCCGCCCGTCGCCACCTGGCCGCCCTGAGGCTGATTCGTTCGAGCAGGGCTGGGCGGTGATGTTTGTACAGGTGCCAGGCGCTCCCTGTCTGCTCCGCCGTCTGGACTGCTTCGATGGCTGGGTTGCAGTCGCTGAGGATGAGCAGCCTGGGGGCCTCTGTGCCCCGTGGGCTGGCCTCCGCCCTGAGCATGCAGGCATCGATCGCGGTGAGCTCGGCGTCGGCGATGCTGCTGCCTGGCGGTAGCGCCCCTCCGTATGCTGTTGGTGTGCCGTCGTCGCCAACCCCGTGCCACACTCCCCATGCCGCATGCGGCGAGGCCTTCCCCGGCCTCTCCGCGCGGGGCAAAGCTGCCGTCGGTGGCGCAAGCGTCGGTGAAGTCGATCGTGTCGTGGAGCGTGATACTCATCCGCGCCATGGTCGCCGCGCGTCACGCCTGCGTTCATGGTCTTGGCTTCCCGCCATCCGACCTGTGAGTTTTATGTGTGAGTGTTGCTATTACTGTGCAGCACTCTGACATACCTCGACGAGCGACAGCAATGTCAGCGCGACATAGACGTGCTCTGGCGGCGCCTCGGCCCCAGGCGCCCGGGTCGCCAGGGAGCGGCGCACAACCTTTGTGCAACTCTGAGGGCGACCATGGATCATGGTCCACACACCACAGTGCAGACCGCACCACCCCGGTGTAAGCCGAAAAGCCGGTACGCGGTAGAGACCGCGCTCCTGCGCGGGTCCTGGGGTAAAAATCAAATTTACTAAATGTGTCACGTAGCCGGACTCCAAGAGTGCGCCGGTCTGGGTCTCTCCCCCGCCAAGGCTGTGGCCGCCCGGCAGTCCCCGGCCGCCCCAACCTCCGCGAGCTGCAGGCTGAGGGCAATGCTCAGCTCCGCGCGACTGGCGCCCACCCCTCGCAGCGCCGCGACGCCCTCGGGGCCGATGCGATTCGAGGCTAGGGTGAGCCGAACGAGCCGGGCGGCGCCGCCGAGGCCGAGCGCGGTGGCGAGACCGACGGCGCCCCTTGCCCCCACCTGGTTGTTTGACAGGCGAAGCTCGATTAGCTCGTCAAAGACGTGGAAGGCGTCGGTGAGTGCCGAGACGCCGCTGCTGCCGATCGCGTTGCCCCCCACCTCGTTCCCAAGGCTGAGCCGCCCCAGCCTCTGCCCTCCCGCCGCCAGCCCTCGCACGAGCGCCTCGGCGCCGGCGTCGCCAAGGCCGTTCGCCTCGAGGCTCAGCTCGCGCAGGCGGGGTGCGCCACCGCGCCCCAGCGCGTCGGCGAGCTCGGAGACTCCCGCGTCGCCGATTCGGTTCCAGCCGAGGAGGAGCGAGTCGAGCGCCCCCGCGCTGTGCACCGCGATCGCCTCGGCGAGGGCGGATGCGCCGCGGCAGCCGATGCAGTTTGAGTCGAGACGGAGGGTCTTCAGCAGCGGTGCGAGGCCGAGGAGCGGCGCGAGGGCGGCCGCGCCGGAGCAGCCGATCTGGTTGCAGCCGAAGTCGAGCGTGCAGAGCCGGGCGAGGCGCAAAGCGACCGGGCCCGCCAGCAGCCCGGCGAGCGCGCCGCAGTCGGCGTCGGTGAGGCCACGGACGCAGCACTGCAGCGTGTCGACGCCTCGTCTCTCTGCGTCATCCAGCAGATAGGCGGCGAGCCCGGCCGCGGCGGCCGCCTCCTCGAGAACCGCCTCGCCGAGGCAGAGCTTTTTGCAGAGGATGCCCAGGCCGCTGGTCCCGGCCCCACCGCTTGCGGCGTCGCTACTAAGGTCGGCGGCGCTGCCCTCTGCAGAGGTTGGACTCGGCGCCGCAACGGGAGAGGGTGGCGCTGGCGGCGCGACATAGTGCGAAACACTCGTCAGCTCGGTGCCGGCGGAGTGCTGCCTTCTGCCGTGGAGGAGCGGCCGCGACTGATCACACTCGTCGACGTCGTGGCCATCGAGCAGCACAAAGACATGGTTGCGACTCATGGCGAACGCCTTCACCACGGGAGCCGCCCAAGCGATTCTGCGAGGATCCGGCGCAGAGGGGCCCCCGGAGGGATGCTCAACCGCTCCACGCCCGCTGCAGCGGTCCCTTCCTTCGGCTCCTGTTAAAGGATTCTTCTGCAAACCGAAGGATTTTGCGGCCTGCTCAGAGTGAGGCACCCGCAGAAACTCACGGCCGTCAAACTAGACGCCAACACTCCTCCTTTACCCGCCGGGCGGGCTAGAGGCCTCGCGGCCGTTGGCCCTAGCACCCAGAGCGGGATGAGATTCGCCGACGTCAACGCGGCGCGGCTGCATTTCGAACGCGCCACACCGACCCCGTCGAGAGGCGCCAGCTAGCACCGCTCGTCGGCCGCCACAACCGAGCTGGTCGGCATCTGAGTTGAGGCCTGCATCAAGCTGCATGAGTGCATCGGCTGCGGCCTCAACAGGTCCAGGCCGCTGCTGGATCTCACAGACGGCGTGCTGCTGGGGGCGGGCCCGAGACGGCTGCAAATGAGCCGAGTGCAGTGGCGAGCCAGAGGCTGCCAGGGTCACCAGGTGGTAGCCCTTGCCCATTCTGATCAGGGCTGTGCTTTGGTGGGGCTTTGCTTGAGCATGTGTGAAGTGGGAGTGCGTGCCGGCGGTGTCTGTGGGTGAAACAGGCGTGTATGAGGCCGGAGAGCCGTGGTATGAGCCAGAGTGGGCTTCATCACCCAAGATAAGTGCGGTTACGGATAGCTCAGACTTGCTACTGATAGGCCTGGGCCAGTAGAGCGACAGAGAATGCGAGGTGGTGAGCTGGGAAGCCGCCTCGTCGGCACCTGGACGTGTCGCGATGAAGTGCCAAGAAGCACCTTTTGCGGCTATTGCTCAAAACTGTGGGAGAGAAGGCCTACATATTATGACTGCATGCATGCATGTGATGCATGAGGTCTGCGGGACGAGACATATCACGGTCGTTGGCACCGGTAATGGCCGCCAGAATGCCCTCGCAATCGCCTCGGATGGGGCCCACCGGAGACAATCTCGAGCCCTCTCCGTGGCATCACGAGCCGGCGTGAGCTTGGAGACCCAACATAAGTGCGGTTTCAGACACCTCCGGCCTGCTGCTGATGGACCTGGGCCAAGAGAGCGACAGAGAAGGCGAGGTGTGAGCTGAGAGGCTGGAGCGTCCGCGTGTGACCTGGTCGCGATGCAAGTGCTACGAAGCGCCTTTTGCGGCTATTGCTCAAAACTGTGGGAGAGAAGGCCTACATATTATGACTGCATGCATGCGCCTGGTGCATGAGGGCTATGGGTCGGGACATATCACGGTCGATGGCGCCGGTAATGACCGACGTAATGCCCTCGCAGTCGCCTCGGACGGGGTCCACCGGAGACAATCTCGAGCCCTCTCCGTGGCATCACGAGCCGGCGTGAGCTTGGAGACCCGAGATAAGTGCGGTTTCAGACTCCTCAGGCTTGCTATCGATTGGCCTGGGCCAGGAGAGCGACAGGAAAGGCGAGGTGGTGAGCTGGGAGCAGGAAATAGCGCTTCGTGGCATCTGCATCGCGACAAGGTCACACGCGGACGCTCCAGCCTCTCAGCTCACACCTCGCCTTCTCTGTCGCTCTCTTGGCCCAGGTCCATCAGCAGCAGGCCGGAGGTGTCTGAAACCGCACTTATGTTGGGTCTCCAAGCTCACGCCGGCTCGTGATGCCACGGAGAGGGCTCGAGATTGTCCCCGGTGGACCCCATCCGAGGCGATTGCGAGGGCATTACGGCGGTCATTACCGGTGCCAACGACCGTGATATGTCTCGTCCCGCAGACCTCATGCATCACATGCATGCATGCAGTCATAATATGTAGGCCTTCTCTCCCACAGTTTTGAGCAATAGCCGCAAAAGGTGCTTCTTGGCACTTCATCGCGACACGTCCAGGTGCCGACGAGGCGGCTTCCCAGCTCACCACCTCGCATTCTCTGTCGCTCTACTGGCCCAGGCCTATCAGTAGCAAGTCTGAGCTATCCGTAACCGCACTTATCTTGGGTGATGAAGCCCACTCTGGCTCATACCACGGCTCTCCGGCCTCATACACGCCTGTTTCACCCACAGACACCGCCGGCACGCACTCCCACTTCACATATGCTCAAGCAAAGCCCCACCAAAGCACAGCCCTGATCAGAATGGGCAAGGGCTACCACCTGGTGACCCTGGTAGCCTCTGGCTCGCCACTGCACTCGGCTCCTCTGCAGCGGTCTCGGCTCTCGCCACGACAGCACGCCGACGGCAAGCTTTGAGGTCCGTCGGGTGGACCTGCTGTGGCCGCAGCCGCCCCTCACATGCAGCTAGTACCAGGACTCGACACTGGGCCCGCTCATCTTGGTCGTGGCGGTGTGTGTGAAGGATGCGCGGCCGAGCCGCTGGCTGGCGCCGCTTGAGCGTCCGAGATGGCCGCAGCACAAGCTGTACGCGCTGTCACGCGTGGCGTGCACGGCCGCGATGGGTAGGCTTGTTGTCGGGGCGCGCTCGGCGCCCGAGAGGTGCGGCTCCGGGCTCGGCATCGGCGGTGGAGTGTGAGCGGCCACCAAAGGACCTTTGGTCCGCTTAGAGAGTGCGACAGTCCGCTTCGGTATTCAAAAGAATGCTTTAATAAATAAGCTCGCGCTCGTGCTTTTTTATTTTTGCGAAGCCAACCATGTAGATGAGCCATACGTGTATATGGCCAGCGAGTCGTGCTCGGCGGGCTCTCCTCCCGCCCCGAGCTGAACGGGCAGCGGGGTGTGGCGGGGAGCTTCGAGGGCGGGCGGTACGCGGTGGCGCTCGAGGGCGGCGGCGAGAGCGTGCGGGTGCGGCCGGGCAATCTGTCGCCGGCGTCGGTGTCGGCGGTGCCAGGCGGTGTCGTGGAAGTCTCCGACGAGGCTGCTGCAGCGGCTGAGCGTGGCGACGAGGCGGCGGTGCTGGTGTGGCTCGACAGTGGCGGGCGGGCCGACGCGACGTACGAGAGAGGCGACGTGAGCGGCATCACGCTGTTGACGACCGCCGCCGCCAATGGGCACGAACAGGTGGTTGACTTGCTGCTTCGGCATGGGGCTGAGATCGACCTGCAGGACAGCCGCGGCTGCACCGCGCTGATGGGCGCCGCCGGCAACGGCTACAAGCGGGTGGTCGAGTTTCTGCTGAAGCACGGCGCGGAGATCAACTTGCAGGCCAACGAAGGCGGCGCCGCGCTGATGAGCGCCGGCAACAACGGCCACGAACGGGTGGTCAAGCTGCTGCTGCAGCGTGGCGCAGAGATCAACCTGCAGACCAGCAGCGGCGGCACCGCACTGATGCTCGCCGCCGGCGAGGGCCACGAGCGGGTGGTCGACCTGCTGCTACAGCGCGGCGCGGAGGTTGACTTGCAGGAGAGCAACGGCGCCACCGCGCTGATGTTCGCCGCCCTCCAAGGCCACCCCGCCGTCGTGCTCCGCCTGCTGCGGGCGGGCGCGGATAGAAAGCTGCGCACTGAGGACGGCAGGATGGCGCTGCAGATGGCCAAGAGGAGGGGCCACGCCGAGTGCGTGCGCGCCCTCGAGGAGCAGGCAGCGGCGCAGGCAGCAGCGAAGAAAGCAGCGCAGGCAGCGGAGGCAGCGGCGAGGGAGGGGGAGAGGGCGGCGGCAGAGGCGGAGGCAGCGCGTCATGCCGAGGCGCTGCTGGCGGAGGAGGAGGCGGAGAAGGAGGGGGAGCGCACCAAGGAGAGCAAGAAGGGGAAGAAGAAGAAGAAGAAGAAGGGGAAGGGCGGCGGGGGCGGCGCTGGCCCGTCGCGGGAGCCCGAGGATGAGGCAGCGCTGGCGGCGGCGGAGGAGACGAAGTTGGCGGCGGTGCTCGAGGAGAGCGCGAGGCTGGAGGACGAGGCGAGGCGCGCAACGGAGGAGCAGGCGCCTCCCGCCGAGTCGGCCGACGACCTTCCGCCGAGTGAGGAGCGGCCCGCTGCGGCGCTCTCGCTAGCCGACGCCAACTTCGACACGGGTCGCGCAGCGATCCCAGAGTCCACCATGGGCGGGGAGACCACGTGCATAGTATGCTTCACCCGGCCCAAGACACACGTGGCCGGGCCTTGCGGCCATCAGTGCGTCTGCGGTCCTTGCTCCGATCGGCTGCAGCTGTGCCCATACTGCCGCGAGCCGGTGGTGATGTGGATCGCGACACGCATTGTCTAGGGACAAGCTCGCTTGTTGTTCGCTAGTTCGTAGTTGATGTGACGACGTTAGGGTTGTCAAACGTTAACTTTGGGCCTAACAGTTGCATTATTGTTGGCTGAAATCCTCAACGTTGTTCAAGTGTTCATCCCAGCCCATGCTGTTACTGTTTGTTACTGTTGTTACTGTTTGTTCAGCGGTCAGCAAGCAGAAAATGCCAAAACACCCGGGTAAACCCCGAAAATACCTCTGGGTTTTCCCGGGTATTTTCGGGTATTACCCACTGGACGCTGGAGATCGTCGTGGGTCACTGCCAGGCCTTCCTTATTGTTGTTCAGCCGGCCTAACGTTAGCTACTGTTGTTGGGGAGCCCCACTGTTGTTCTGTTGTTACTGTTAACACTAGCAACACTGTTCAGCTCTTTAACGTTTGACAACCCTAGACGACGTGCCCGGTGGAAACGAAAGTGGAAAGAAAGAAATCAGCGGGGAAAGACGCCGGGTCAACACCTCCACTTCCGGGCGGTGCGCCTTTGCGTTTATTTTTTGAGCCTTCGATGTTTACAATGAAATCGGCCCGGAGGGCCGGGTAGGACTAGGAGGGGTCTACGGCTCTAGGTTACCTCTACCTCTGAGGGCCTGCGGCCCTCTTACCTTCACCTCTGGGCAGCCGTGGGCCCTTTACCGCTACCTCTGAGCAACGTAGCCGTGATTTACCTGTGCGTGATCTCGACTCGAGGATCTCGCGCGAAGAGGCGAGTGATCTCTCGAGTGATCTCGAGATGTTGAGATCTCGATAGCATACAACATAATCTGCGATTCTTACTCGCCGAGAAAATAAAATGCGCAGCCGCACGAGTGTTTCTGAGAGCCGCTTAGGTGAGTGGCCGACATTTCACAAAATGGGCGCCGCCAGGCGCGCCCCCTGAGTTCTGCTGCAGTCCGCTGCGGAGAGCAGCGAGTGGAGCCGGCTGCAAGACAACAACGGCCTCGGCTTTTACCTACTCACGAACGGCGCAGTCTACATTGATAACATCTCGCCCACCATTTGCAGCACCAGCGCCGACGCGGGCCGCACCGTTGAGCTCCGTCACCATCGCCATCCTCCACCTACAGACCGCTGTTAGCTGCGAGGCTGCCGCTGTCGCCATGATGCGCGACATCATGCTGCATGATGAGGATGAGGACGTGCGTCGGTACCCGTGGGACGGCTCCTCGGTCATGATGGAGAGGGGGGACGACACCGCCCGATCTACCCTCCGAGGTCCCTCGGCGGCGTGCACCTCGTCCTCGATCCTGGACCGTGTTTTTTTGTTATGACCCCGCCCCCCAATGAACACACCAGTATGACACAAAAAACATCTCTCTCTCTCTTTCTTCCTGTATGAGCGCCCGCGGTATTTCTTTTTCCTCTTTGACGAGACCTATCTACGCACCGTGACTTGGTCATGAAAGACAACAGCATGTCACCGCCAGCCATTCCGGCTCTCATGGATCCGTTTGCGCCGCCGCCGCAGTCCGCGCCGCCGCCGCCGCCGCCGCCGCCACGACGATGCGTCCTCTACGGCTGCAACACCTACACACCATCCGGCGGAGACTCAACCTCCTCAGACGACATGTCGATGGTCATCGCCCTGCCCGTCCTCCTTTTGTCCTTTCCCCTCTACGTGCTGGTTTTCAAACTGCTAATGCGCTATCGGCCCTGTCAGCGCCGCGCACACAGCTCGAGTGCTGCCAAGCCGCCCGTTCTCACCACTGTCGAGGTCGACACGAGCGTGCACCGAGGCCTGTGGGTGGTCACGATGGACAAAGGAGTGTGCATCGTCTACAATCCTTCGCAGCAGCCCAACCCTGAGTTGTCTCAGAGCGCCTGAGACACCACACTCCGCGGCGTGTGCGATACCGGATACCGCGGTGTGCCACCACGCTCGCTCTGAGAGCAATCGTAAAACACAAGAAGTCAAATGTCCGCACTGGACATCTCTCCTATCTCCCTCGCGGACAGCGCCGGGGGGCACACGAATGAAACTCGAGAGACACGAGACATAAAATCACGTGTCGCTGTCAAAGAGCGGTCTCGGCACCGGCCGCTTGCCCAGCGACACCGCACCGCCGCCCACACCGCCTCCCAAGCGCCGAGGGAGGGGCTGTACGGCGTGCTCGGCAACGCAGAGGGCGGCGTCGGCGGCGAGCGCGCGTGCGAGGCCGGCGGCGGCGCCCCGCCCGGCTGGTGGTGATGGTAGGGCAGCGGCGGCGGCGGCGACGGCGGCGAGAGCAGCAGTCTCTCGAGTCGGGCGTCGGCAGCTGGCTCAGTGGCGGCGGAGGCGAGTGCGGCCGGCTCGCGTGGTGGTGGCGAGCGATGTAGAGCGCGATTTTGCTGTAGAGTTTGTTGTAGAGGCTCTACAGCCAAACCGCCGGGAAGGCAGTGACTCAAAGAGGTCGAGCCGCGCTAACGGGGTGTCTCCGAGCTTACTGGAGCTCTGATGGACGGCCCTGACTATCCCTGACACACAGAGAGTCACTCTGACGGCACACAACATTGCGTCGCGGATCAGCGTCCCGATGAGAATGCTCACGAGGGCGCACCACCCGTGGCCTCGCCCAAACACAAAGGAAGCGGAGACTCGGCTCTCGAGGAGCGGGCCGTGGACGTTCCTGCTAAAGAGTGAGTCAATCGCCTCCCACACCTCCCCTCCGACGCGGAAACCAACAGCGCCGTAAAAGAAGGCCCCCGTCCATGCTGCCCCGTTCCCGCCCCAGAGCACCATCTCCCTCTCTCACGGTCACGCGAGAGATAGAAGACGCACGCGTGCCGTCCAAGTGTAGAAGAGCAGTCGTACGAAACCATGCAGTAGCCCTCATCGATGCAGGCGCGTACAATCGCGTCCCCGCGCCTGTCGCGTCTAAAAGACTCAACGTATGGACCCGTCTTGGCGGAGCGGAGTATTCTGGTGCGATTGTGCATGCATCGGGCGATGATCGGCGTCGAGCGAGGCGGATGGTTGGTAAGTGCACTTGCAAATGACGGGTAGCTCGTGAGCTTGGCTTGCATTCGGCGAGTAACGTCGTTTGGCCTACTTCTCATCGGCTTCCACGCCTCCTCTCCCTCGTCGCCCTCGCTGCCCTCGCCCTCGCCCTCGTCGCTCGCGCGCCGTGCGTCGTCGTCGGACCCCGACCAGCTTCGGTCGCTCACCCTATAACTGCGTCATGACCAGCCTGCCATGTGTCGCCGGTGCCGCATTCGTCGCTGTGCTTCTTTAGCAGGCGGTGGACTGTCGGCTGCGAGGACGGTCGCATTTGCGCGAGGCGAGGCGAGCATTCAGGCGAGTTGCATGCGCCATGACTCGCGCCAGCGCGTGCGGGAGCTCCTGGCTGAGCGTTGAGTCCAGGCGAGTTGCGCTGGCCACTATCGCTACTTTACGCCGAGCCGAGCTGACGCGCCGAGGCGCCGGCCAGTCGCAGCCGTGAGGCATGCCACAGCAGCAGAGGCACCTGCCACCCATTGGGCGGGCAGACAGAAGGCCAGGGCAGCACTGTCAAGTGCAACGCGCCTCATGTCGGAGAGCGACCGTGCCTCGTTCGCCGCTTATGATGTAGAGTTTGTTGTAGATATTTCACGTTGTAGAGCGCCTCTACAACGCTCTACAACGCACGCAGTTCGTCACGCGGCGGATGTAGAGCTCTACAGCTCTACAGCGCTCTACACTCTACATCCTCTACACCCTCCCTCACAAAATGGAGCACCAAACACCCTCCCTGTCGTTAGTTACCCTCTGTCTGTCTGGGAATCTCCGGAAACGCAACTGCTGGACCCTCCTTGTTTCCTTCTGGTTTCGGAAATATGTGTGAGAGATTTTAGCAACATGCACGTCAGGGATTAGGCCGAACGCGGAACGGACGTGCGACGACTCGGACGGCGACGGACTCCGAGGAAGGGCGACATAGACTCCACTTTCTCCACACACAGCGACGGCGTCCTCGACCGCATCCCTACCACTGAAAAAAGAGAATTGTTTCTCAAAGAAAGAAAACAGACAACCCAAGGGAGGGATGGGAGGACGGCACGCCGCCACCACACAGGGGGTAAAGAGAATTCTTTCTGCTCGAGAGAGAGAGTAGTAATTTTTTCCGCTCCAACAAGGCGGCGGTTGGTACGGACCGCGACGGGCGCCACAGCGGGCGTCTGCTCGGTCACGCGCGCGAACGCCAACTGGATGCCCACGGTGGGCGAGAAGGTGGAGCTACACTCGCTGCGGTCTGTGCCAGCCCTGAACGGCAAGCTGGCGGTGGTCGTCGGTGAGGTCAGGAATGCAGCCGCGCGCGCGGCGGAGCTGCGCATATTTTTTATATGTGCGCCCACCGGTGTGACGATCGAGGGCGGCACGCCCACGATAATGACCCAATGAGATCGGCTCGTTTTCGAACTGAAATGAGATATGTATGAGACCAGGCGTCCCCTACCCACCAAGAATCGGAACCCAGCGATTGCCTTCCGGGAGCTGCTCCCACTGTCCTGTGCGCGCTCGCTCCCATAGGCTGTCCACGCATCTGGCCACGTGTCACGCCTGCCGATGCCCGGCCGGGGGGTAAAGCTCCGGAAAACTTGACACCGAAAAAGTTAAAATGTTGTGGTGGTCAAGAAAAAGAATTCTGTCGTGTGGGGCTCCTCTCAACCCCTTACGCACTCTTCACACAGGGGCACTCACAGCACACGTGAAGGTTCACGGGGCCGACTACAGTGTCTCTCTTTCTCCCAGTAAGCTATAAGGCAACTAAGACTCCCGCCGTTGCAACTGCCATGTCACGGCCGGTCGGCTGCAGCTCTCGCCTCGCTGGCGGCGCGGTCTGGTGCCGCGGCGCCCAGCTCTCCTTTTGGCTCGCGGCGGCTCGCCGCCGCGGTGCCGAACAATGTGATCAGTCTGGATTCGTCCCGGCGTGCCGCCGGTGCCGCTTCCTCGCCAATTTTTGGCTCGACCAGTTTGTCGACAAAACTGTGCCAGAGCCCCTGCTGCTCGACTGAGCGGCGGAGCCGGCCCGTCGCGGCCGAGAGGCGGTGCGCCGACACCGGGGCTACGGCTCGGGACCGTTTCCAGGCTCTCTCGAGCAACCTCAAATTTTGATGATTTCATGACCGCCACTTTGCTGCACACTTTGACCACAACCTCGCGGCCCGCTGCGCGGCTCTCCGAGCGCGAGAGGAGTCGTCTACGAGGCGGCGGCGAGCGCAGGGGCGGCGGCGCGGCGGCGCGGCGGCGGATCGCGGCGCAGACAACGGCAGGAATCTGCGGCAGGCTGCTGCCTGCTGCTACAGCAGCTGCTGCTGCTGCTGCTGCTCCGCCGCTGCCGATTGTGGACACGATTCCCCCGATCACCCCGCCCGCCCGCTCCGCCCCGCCCGCCCGCCTCTCCCCGCTTGCCCGCCCGCCCGCCCGCCCGCCCGCCCGCCCGCCCGCCCGCCCGACCGACCACCCATTCCCATCACCATCTCACATACCTTCATATAGGCGCTCGAGACCTCCTCTCGCTGCCTACTCGCTGCCTCGAGGGAGGAGGGGAAGACGTCGAGCTGAGCTTGCCTCGCTTGTACGGAGGCCCCTCCCCGAAAGGGCAAGTATTAGCCACAAGAAACCCGAGACCCCTCCCCACCACCCCAATCCCCCCACCCCCTTGCTCCCCTCCCCCCCTCGGGAGGGCCGAACTGAGGCGCCCGTGGGGACCCCGCAATTCCCTTCCCCCCTCGGAGGGCCGGACTGAGGCGTCGAGGGCCCCGCTCTTTCCTTCGCATAGCGGCCACTCTTCGGATCGCTGGTCGAGCGACCCGGGGGATGCCCCGCGCGCCTGACCCAGGCGCGGAAACGAATCTGCGAGGCGTGGCCGCTCATGCGGCCCGATGGGGAGGAGGGGAAGACGTAGGGCGTGCTTGCGCGCCTTTCCGAGGCCCCTCCAACCCACCCGCGCTAGGTCTCGGGTTTGACGCATGGGGTCACTCCCGCGAAACTCGGGAACTAGCCGGGGCAGTCGGAGAAGGGGCAACTCCGTGCACTGACGGTCGGCCGTCAGAAAACACGCCTCCGTGGCTCGGGTTACACCAATCCTCGCTACCCAACGCGGCCAAAGGACCTCGAGAACCTCGAGAGAGAAGCTATAAGTACGTACGTACAGCGGGGAGGAGTGGGCTCCTCTGCCGCTCCTCTTGCCAAAAACCGAGTTTCACAATGACGCGCTCGCTGCGACTGCTCGCGCGCCGCTGCTCGTCGATCGTGCGGCTCGGCACGGACGATCCGCGGATGTCGAAAGTCGTGATCCACCGAGGCGTCGTGTACACGTCGGGGCAGACGGCCGCCGACGCTGGAGACTGTGTCGAGAAACAGACCAAGTCGTGTCTTGCAAAGATAGACGCGCTGCTGGCGGAGGCGGGCACGAGCAAGTCGAACGCGCTGAACGCCACCATCTGGCTGAAGGACATCGAAGCCGACTTCAAGCGGATGAATGGCGTGTGGAACGAGTGGGTTGAAGCGGACAACAAGCCGACGCGAGCGACCGTTCAAGCCGCTATGGCCCGACCCTCCATCCTCGTCGAAATTCAGGTAACGGCGGCGCTTCCAGAGTGAGCTGAGGTGCGGCCGGCGCCCGCTCGACCCTCTCTAGTCTCTCGGGAAGCGCGACGCTCTTCACGCGGTCAGCCTCGTCTTCCGCCTCCTGCGCTTCGCAGCTCCGCCGCCGGTCGCGGCACGCCTTTGGCGACAAGCCTCTCCGCCGCCTGCCCGGCGATCGATCCCAGTCCCAGTCGGACGAGCGCATCAAGCCGAATTCCCAGGTCGAGCCCACGAGGCGACGCTGCTGATGCGTGCTGCCCTCGGCGCAGCGCGGCGCGCGGGCCATCTGAGACCACTATCTCTTTGTCGGGCCGCGGTGTGCGCGGCCTGTGCGTGTGCGTCTCCGGCACGGCCCGGTGCGGCTGTGGCGGCGCGCCCGCCCCGGGGCCCAGGTGTGACGCAGAGCTCGCACTTTGGTGAGTGCTGTGGCTCGTGTCGGTCAGTCGGTGTGTAGTACGCGCTGTGCGGTGCGACACCGTGCACAGGTGAGGCCCACAGCACTGCGACGGTGTATCATCGGGATAATGGTGAATGATACACCCCGGCGTCCGCACCCCGCTGCCTCGAAGCTCGATCCGCAAGCCCCTTGCGCCTTGGCAAGCGAGCCAAGAGCAAGAGACCAGAGGGGGGTTGGGTCCCCAGGCGCCATTTGGCCTGTTGGTCTTCAAAAATCTCTCTCAACACGTCAACACTCTCAAGGCGCCATCACACCAGGCAGAGGCTCCACCTCCAGCGTCCAGGCGCTCCTCCTTCTCCGCGAAGGAGACAGGACTCAGGAGCACAGGACGCTCAAGCCCGCAGACTACCGCAGAGACGACGCCACGGCCAGAAGCTGAAAGCCTAGAGGTGTTAGGTTGCTTAGGCAGCGCCCACCCACACGGCACAGCAACTCGAATCCGACAGCCGCTACCGGCACCTGCCGGACAGCTCCCAGGAGAGGGGGTGGCACCCGCTGGGCGCGGCACCCGGCTGCACATGGTGCCCTGCCTGCTGGCCCTCGGCTTCACGCCTCCGTCGTGGCCTCGCCGCGCCGAAGCTGCGTCCTCGCGATTCGCACTCGCCCGGTTCGACCGCAGCCGCGCAAATGTTGAGAGGCTCGCCGACCGGTTTGAGGCGTACGAGGCGGACTTGCTGTCAAAAGCCTCCGCCGCCGCCCTGATGACAGCCTTCGGCGGCTTCGTCGCTGGTGCTGCCGTCGCCAGTGCTGGCCTGCTGCCCGGAGGCCCAGCTCGGACAAAGAGCGTGCCGCTCCCGCCTCCTATTCCTCCTCCGTCTCAACTGCTGGCCACTGCTCCGTCGCCGCCATCGAACTGGTTCGGGACCTTTGCCTCGTCGGCGCCCTCGGCTCTCGAGACTCTCCTCTTTGGCTCCACTGCCCTCACCTCCGTCGGCTTTGTCTCGCGCAGCAGAGAGCTGGAGAGGTCGGAGAGGCAGAGGCAGGAGCTGCTCGAGCAGCTGCAGCTCCAGCGGGCAGGGCCGAGCCCGGGCGGGCCCGAGCGGGCAGGGCCGAGCGGGCTGGGCCGACAGAGCAGCAACTCCGCCGCCGCCCTCGCTGCCTCGGTCTCCATTGCCGCCGTCGCGGGCTACACCATCGGGACTTCACAGGCGTTGTCGAGGGACTTGCCAGCGCCGGCCGCCGCGGCGGCAGAGAGGCGGGCGGCGCGGAGGCAGGCGTCGGCGGCGTCCGAGGCGGCGGATAAGGGAGAACAGAGCAAGGCTGGTAAGGTGAAGGCGGAGGCGGCGGCGAAGGCGGCGGCGGCGAAGGCGGAAGCGGCGGCGAAGGCGGA